CTTGCATTACCATCCAATTAAGCCCCTGTTTGGCCCCCATTATTATAGATTTTTAGGGGGTTGAAAATTTTTAGAATAGTGATTGATGGGAGATGTGTGGTTGAAAAGTTTTAGATTTGTGTATATTATTATTTTATTTGATGAATGTATGGTTGAGATGAAGAGAGAGAAAAATTTAATGTAATGTAATGAGATATAATTGGGGGCAAACAAGGGCTATAAGATATAGACTTGTGTACAAAAAAACACTTGCAAATAAATAGTAAAAGATGGTACTTTAATAAAGAGGACAGAACAAAAATCAATTCAATATGAAAACTTGGCCAAAATAATAAAAATCCAGATAAGAGTTAAAACTATAGACAATCAATAGACATAGAAAAGCTGAAGAAAACTTTATTCTTTAACATGTCAAGCTCCCACGTCGAACTCCATTTTCACAAACTATGGGCTATTTTCAAGATTGACGCACTTGCCAACAAAGCTGCATGCACAGTTGCACATCCTTTTGTAAGTTGCATCAGCAATTATGAAGATGAAAACCTCCACAAATATAACAATCTTATTTGGAGAACATACTAGAACTTACGAGTGTAAAGTGGGTCGTGCCATTTTCGCATCCCCTGTCACGTGAGTATACAGATGACGTGAATTGGGTAGTGACAACCTAACTCATTTTACACATACCAAATAAATTATTTTGTTATTACTGATATTAGCAATATAGGACATAAAGAACAACCGATACAAATGATTCCACTCCAAACAAGTTCACATATATAAAAACAGAGGTCATTGTTTATGGAACGTTAAACTTTTAGACAGGGTGGTTTAACATAGCATCTAAACAAAACATATTTATTTCAAATCTCAGTGCAACGGTACGAATCAATTAAAGTAATAAAGCATAACTGCAACAAATTTCTGTATCATAACAGCAAAGAAACAAAAAGAATATGATTTTTCAGAATGGGATGGACTATGGTACACAGGCCTACAGACAACAAATGGTTTATAATACAGTCAAAAGTAAAGGAAAATTTCTCTATGACTATAACAAACTTGTGTACTTCCTACTAATGTCACGTCTTAAAAATATAAATCATGCTTTAAATCGAATAATAAAAAAATGTACCAAATAATGAGAAATGGACACACTTTTTTTGCTTCTACTACATCAGTTTCTTCAGTTTCCTCTAAAAGCTGCAAGTCTAGCAACAAAATCATCATAGTCTGGCAGCTTAGGGTGCACGTGCCCGTTTGAACTCAGCATTTCAGGCTGGAGAGACGTGGCCCGGACGTGTCTTTTTGGAATCTTGGTTGGACTTGTTAATTCAACAGGAAGTGAAGACAATCTGTTTGGACCATCTCTATTTCCATGTTTTGATTTGCTTTTTTCCATGGCAGCAAGCTGACGGGGCGGCTTAAGAACTGAGGCTGAATTGTCCATGTCGTGAGGTGCCTTTTTCCGACTGTAGCGAAATAAAAGCTTGTCCATCGTTCTTTCTTCGTCGTCACATTGGTCACCATCACCCTTGTCTAAGAATTTTAGAATTCTTTGTCCGTGGGCCGCTTTGTCTTGATTTACACTGTTGTTACTTTCAGAACCACCAACATTTTCACGAGCTGATGGCACTTTTTTAGTTTGTCTACTCCTGACTGATCTTGGCTTCAGCTTAGCATCACCAACTGAATCATCAGTGTCGAGACTCTTTGTGTTGTCATTTTCTGATTTGGTATAAGGAGGAGGAATCGATTTAAAGTTAAAAGGCTTTCCATTCTCGACTTTTTCCCCAGAAGTACTTCTCAGGGTATCTGGTTGATTTCGCATCTCATTTCTTCCAATAGTATCCACTTGAATGTCCTTAATAGGAGGTGTAACAACTGGGGTCTTGTGGGATGGAGGAACTATGTTGTCTCTTTGAGGCATGGCATTTTCCTTTCTCCTAGGCAATTTGAATTCCTCTTTCGTAGCTTCCTTTTCTCCATGAGATGAACAGACATCTTTCCTCTCAGGAGCAGTACATTCTCTCGGGTTCTCAGTGTCCCTGCAGTTTTTATTTTGAACTGAACCATTCACCCCGTTGTGAAGATTGTAATCACTATCATTGCTTTCATTGGTGAAAACCTGCCAAAAAATCGCGCATTTAGTCAAGAAAATATCGTTAGGTGGCAAAAAATATCACATAATGAGATGCACCGGGCATGCTAGAACTCAAAGCATCAGAATTTTGACTCAAACAAATCCAATAAAACAGTAATGGACATGACGACCAAGAAAAAACCTAAAATCAAATTATACCTAACTATTTCAACATTGTTTAGAAAGAAGGATCATGTGAAGAAAATACATTGAAATATGATGTGATCCTCACATTTGAATTTGAATAAAGAACCTAGATTTTCCATTTTTGAATCTTTTTCTTCTTTTTCATTGACAATAAGTAAACTAAAAATGGAGGTTTATGCGGTTTTAGAGGGCCTTACTTGGATAGAGGCAGGCGCATTATAAAGCCTATTTTCCAAACCTTTTGAATTCCATTTTATGCCTGAATGTACTGCTATATCTTGCATTAATTGAAGCTTCATATCCATTGATGGAAGGGATGACTTCAACTTCTCGACGAACTAAATATAAGAAATCAAATGTTTAGTTTCTGAGGAAAATAAAGGAATAGAAATATCCGACTCAACAACATTCATACACAGAAGAACGAGTACCTCTTTATTGGCATGAACATCCAGAGAATTCTCATATCTCTCAGAAAATACAGTTCTCAGCTCCCGCAATTCTGGCAGGTCAGCAAAACTTGCTGCTGCAAGCATCAAAGACGATACAGCTTCCCTGCACTCTTCGGGACATTCTCTGTTGAATAAGAAATATTATAGGCAAAAAGAAAAAAAAACACTTCAAACACATAGATATATAATCTATATCGTCAATTTTAACACGTCCCAACTGATAAAATGATGGAAAAAAGCTGGAGAATATATCCATGGCAAGAGGAATTACATGTGTAACCATGGCCTAAAAGTAATTATCTTTAAGAACTTCAAGGCACTTGCAAAATGTCACACCCTCCACCCCCAACCCAATAAACATGAACTATGCTTCTCTTATATGTCAGAATCTCTTAGTATTTCATATACCACAGTTACAGTTAATTGGCGAATGTGTTTAATACCTCTGTTTAGCCATGGCTGCAAGATGACTCAAGATAAAAGCTGAAAATTGTTCAATCAAATCGTAACAGTTAGATTTGTTCAACTCAACCATAAGTCCTTCCGCCTGTTTTCACAGAAAAAAGGGACCGAGTCACAACAATAACATCAACTGCACATCTTAATGTCAAAGAATGCAGAAAACAAGCATCAGAATTTTAAATTGAATTTTAGAAAATAAATGTTAAAAAAATGCTCCAATATAATTTGAGATTTCAAATCCTATAGAATATACGACCGGAACCCAGAATAACAAGAATTCATATGTCTCGTGTTTCATAAGCCAAGGAGATTTGTAGCAATCAAATGCCTAGAAACATTCCGATTCAGTCTTTTAGACAAAAGGGCTCTAAGGGAACAATTCCTAAAGCCTTTTGCCGATTAGAAAACGGCAGTAAATCAATAATTCAAGAAAAGATTTAAGGTTCTTGCATCCAGCTAATTGAGTTATTTGTTCTTCAATATCAATTTTCTTTTATGATTCTACCTTTAGAGCTGTCGTCAATCAGAATCCTTATGTTTCAAGTAATCGCCAATAAAGAGAAACAAGAAATGAATTCTGAAGCACAAGTTCTTGAATGTGAACAAAAATATGAATTAATATTCAAGAAAATATACTCACCCTGCCATAGGCATTATTATCCAATCCATTTTTAAGCAGATCAGCAATATCATTCCTCAAATACTTCTGCATTGCATTTCTCTTCTTGCGTATAATCTCAATCCGAGTTTTCGTCATCTTAATTGCCGATTTGCTATTCCAAAAAAAAAACCCACAAATTAACCCCCCAAAAAACCCAGGAAAAAAAAACCAATATTATATAAAAACAAACTAGAAGGGGGGAAATTTTTAATTGTTCTTACCATTTGGAGTAGAACTTGCTTTTCAAAAATCCGTCAAACATTTTCTCCTTCTTATGAATTTTGAAGTAATTGGTTAAAGAACAGTTTCAAGAATTGTTTTTCTAATGCGACTCAAAGAAGATCCGCATTTAAGAGCTAAACGAGCTGGGAAGAACAAACAAGGACTAAGGCAAGAATTTAGGATGGTCTTTATTTAAAAGAATGTTTATTGAATTTAATTATAATTATATACACACAATGAGCATATACATACAAAATACTTATAGAGAGAGAAAGAAGCGATGTAACGGAGTGCTAAATTTGCTCTGCCACGTTAGACTGTAACGGGATGTATAACTGTAGAAAGCTGTAATTACATTAATGGGCTTGATTGTTGGAGTAATTATTGAGTTAGAAATGAAGATATGGCGGGAAGGGAAGGGTAATATGGTAAAATGATTAGAAGCTTATCGAGTGCGAGTTGGTCGGGCCCACATTTATGCAATTAGAGAGAGGGAGTGGAAAACGCGGGAGACAACTCCGTTGATGTCAAGGCCCACATTTATGCAATTAGAGAGCGGGAGTGGAAAACGCGGGAGACAACTCCGTTGATGTCATTAATACCATTTTACATGTCCTAAAAAGCTTCTCTGAATTATTATTTTTTTAAAAAAATTATAAATTTGTTTTATCGAAAAATCGTATAAGTTAACTTTTCTTATTTTTTTTTTTTGTCTCAATTATATAATCTTGTTTTTTTATTGAGAATGTTTTGCTTTGTTCGTTTATTAATATACCCTTATTTAATTTCTTAGCTATAATCAATGTATTACGAGTTGTTGACAGTTAAGACCTTGTTTGTTTCAGATTAAAATCAGATTTTAATCTAAATCAAAGTCAAACAATTAATATTAGCCACATATTTTATGACTCCACAGTTTTTCAATCACACATTTCAAAAATTTTTATTACAATCCACTAAAAATCTAATTTTAATTCACACCAAGCATCCACTAAATGAGGATAGACTAGAAAAGTTTTAGCAAAATTTACTTTTTCAATAAAAGTAAATAAGATTTTTTAATTCATGTGAAAAACAAAATCAGCATCTATGAATGGGACGGAGGGGATAGTTTTTTTGTAATCAAGCCCAAGCCTATAAAACATGATAATATGATAAGTAGTTAATTGGTGTAAAATCTTGTAATACTTTGAACAACAAAAAATTTCATCTAATCAACTTCAAAATTGTTATGCACAAACTTAGTTTATTAATTTTTTTTTTATTACCGTAGTTTATTGTTAACGATAGTGACAACCACGTGAAAGATTTAGTTTTGCAATAATTTTTATTTTACATTATTCAAAATCAATTAAGATACGCAACCATATCATATAAACTACCATCATGCCCGGGAATCCCCCTCTAACACCTTTAGATCCATCTTTGGACGCTAATATCCTGGCATCGTAGGGAGAAAATGGTTCATTTCAATTTTTAGACAATGACATACAACATGGGGAACCCGAGTACTATATGACCAAATACGAAATAGGGATATCGGTTGGACATGCATGTACAAGATGTTGTCACTTTTAACTTTTTACATAGACTCCTTTGTGAAATAGGTTCGTCCTTATGTTCAAGTAACTTGCATCATAAGGCCCAAAAATTGTTGTCATTGTGGATTGAAAATATTTTCTTAAAATTCAACTAATTTTACAGTGACATTGTATCAATTTTTCTATTGGAAACGAATTCATGGGCTATTGTGGGGAGACATGTATACTTAGTTACATTTCCATTTAAATAAATAATTTGTATCGTCAAATACTATACTAGAGATGTGCCCAGAAAAAAATAGAATTTTTACCCTATAATGCAAATATTTATAAAATAAAGTAAAATCCAAAATTTTATCCCTCGTGTGTGTTATCTTTCTATTGGCATGAAATAATTGAAACTTGTAAGGTTAATTTAGGAATTTAGGGATGTGTGCGGTTTGTTTAATCTGTTTGTTTTGGACAAAGAACGAATGGATAGAGAATAAGCGCATAATTTGGCGGGTATATCACGCTTCCTCATATATCGCATAGCCACTTGGCGGCGCTCGGTGACTTGCCGCCGAAGGGAGCGAGTCAAGCGTCGGAGCAATCAAATTGCTTAATTGGAGTCATTGGACACAGCTGGGATACCGTTAAGTCCAACTAATGTAGATGAGCTGTCAACTTTATAAATAATATATTTATAATTATATGCCCAACAGAAGAAAAATAGGCTCTACGTTTGAGGAAATATTCTTGGCTAGTAATACACCGATGAGTCATGTGCATGATTACTTTAAAAAACGCAAAAAAAAAAAAAAAAAAAAGTGTCTACGGCAATTGAAGCCATCAGAGCCCGTGGGTTCGGTTCACTGTTGACATGGATCAAATTTTGACGGTCACGAGTTGAGCTGAACTTGTCACCAAAAGCTCGTAAGTTACATGAATCGACGACTCATGGGCACGGTCGACTCGTAACAGTTTGTGAGGCTAGCCTATAATCATGTATTAATTATTGTATTTTGCATAAGTGTAATATTATATTTTCCAAATAGATAATTTATATTTATAAAACTTGAAATTAAAGTATTTTTATTTTATTTTCAAATGATTGTATCTAAAATTTAAAAATCCTTAAAGTCAAAATAAATCATCAATTTTCGTTTTTTCTTTTTGTTTCAACTTCTTCCCCTAAGTAATTCATTAATTGGTGGAGACCACCATTGAGATTAAACTCATGATGACCCGACAAGTCGAGCTCATTAACCAATCCAAACATGCCAGTGATATACCTTCCCAGTTCGGCACTGTAGCTGATAAGATGAGGAAATCAGTATACATACAGATTTCTCTCTATAAAAGGGAGGATGGGAATGAAAAGAAGGAGAGAGGAGCAGCAGGGGCTTCCCCTAAAAAATGTTCTTACATATCATATTTCAAATATCTTCTTGAAAAACAAGAGTAACACATTTGTAAATATACTTATAATTCACATGTGGTTATCAATAAAAGTTTTCATTTTCCTTTAAATTGGCTTGAATGTTGTTCGTGCAATTTTCGACTTCAACACTTTTAAATATATTCATCTTGTTCGTATTAATTTTGAGTCGACTGTTCGATGTTCAAGGAAGACCCTCGAAGGAGCCGTTCCCAGTCCGTTAGTAAGAACTTACAATTTATTTTTAACTCAAAAACAGTAGGATCCACATCTTAAAAGTTTTAGGCTTATTTGACACATAATAGCACCAACTAGTATTTAACACGGAGTTCTAAAATGTAGGAAAATGCAGGTTTGGCATGTCTAGGCGTAAGAGAGGTGCCTGTATACAAAAAAGGCGTGAGACAAGTGATCGATCTAATTTTGATTGTATATAATGTGAGCCTAAGTGTTAAAAGATGTGATTAAATACTAATCCAAGCCTAAATGCCAAAAGGCATGCTTCTTTTATTTATTTTTTCAAACTTCCAGTTCAATGTCTTAACTAAATCCTCTTTTTTGACAATTGAATGCATTTTCTATTGTCCCATATTTAGTATTATGGGAAGCTATGGTTATAAAATATGGAAGAGAAATGAAATGATTTATTTCAACCGAAATACGGGCAAATCTGCAAAAGTAAGGCAAAACTCTAGTGATTGTGGGACCTTTTCTTAAGTTAAAACATTTTAACTTATTATTTGATGTCAATGACATATCGTTTAAAAATAATAATGAATTTCGTATGCAATGATAGAATCAAACGGTGCTCCTATTTGACTCATTTTGCCGTCCAAAATAATTGCGATCTATCTAGTGTTTGGCGCCACCCCATTAAGATTTTTCAAATTGTTCTCTTTCTTAATTTTAACGACACATTCTCCAAATAAAATAATATTACAAACGATCTAAAAATTTTCATTTTTTTTCAATCACACATTCTTTCATCAATCACTATTCTAAAATTTATAATTTCTCCAAAATGGGGACCAAATACTAGCCTAGTTCTTTGTTTTAAGACAAAGTACCGGTTAAACTTCAAATCAAATTGAGCCGAGTTGGTCAGTTTGATCCGATTTTAATCCTGGTTGAATAGGTCTAGAAGTAATATTCACCTTCAACTTATGCAACTATTTAACAGATATAACAGACAGAATACAAAACCTATCCAAAAGCATCAAAGAAACTATGAATTAAAGGTACACTAAAAATAGAAATATCCTTATCCCGCGAAAATTATGACGCTTCCAAAAAACTGTTTTATTTTAAAACGGCATAAATATTATGAATTTTATGCTTTTTGGAATAAAGTGAATAGCTTTTTGTTTTCCTTTCTGGTGTAGAAATCAATTCAGGCACGTTCGAACATGGAAGGACGAATGAGTTTGTCTAAAGCAGTTAGAGATTATGAGTGTTGGTCACGTGAGGTGGTTGGTGCAGGCCAGCAGATCACGTGCTCTACCTTAAAGTTCGCTACATAAATGGATTAGTTTTTCGGACGATGGTCAAATGGTCGCTGGTTAAGGTTTACTTGATTCCTAACCTACTGCGTGCCTTAATCTTCACGTTATTCTTTTACTATGGACATATAAAAAAAGTTAATTTTTATAAGCTGGGAACTTAAAAATTTCTAACTTATCAGTTGACTTCTAAAATTTGGTACACACAATTTGTAGTTCACGGCTTAATCCTCAACACGTGCATTATCCAACTTGAATTAAAAACATTAGTATGCTCTAACCTATGTTGAATTGTCCATTCAAAAATTTAAGTTAATAGCATAATAATAATCTATTTATTTACAAGAATCAAAAATAATTTTGGAGTGATACGACGGTGTTGAGGTCACCCGTCTGAATACGAGGTAAATTTACGAATTGGAATTGATTTTTAATTTTTTCGATCGATCTAATCAATCAAAACAGGTAATTATGACATCGACATGAGTAGGAATACAATTAGACTCTATTGGGTTAGTTGAGCAAGTGACCATTTTTTTTCTTTAGTTGGGACCAACAATTATGGGTTGACCACAAATCT